ATTAAGAGAAATAGACGGGCACAGTGGATTAGGAAACAAAATCCAACAATATGCTGTATACAAGAAACACATTTAACTCATAAAGACATTCATTGGCTGAAAGTCAAAGGATGGAACACAATATTACATGCCCCAGCACCTCAGAAAAAAGCAGGGGTAGCAATCCTATTCTCAGACACTCTCACCTTCAAAGTAATACCACTTGTGGGTACATTCATGAAGAAATTAGAAATATCATACTCCAGGGATACATGCATACTTGTGGCTAGCCACCTAACTCACAGTAGCTCATCTTTGGAAAGAGCTGCGGTGCCTGTCAGCAGACACATGGATAGAGAAGAGGTGGCTTACATTCACAATGGGGTATAATTCAGCCAGAAAGAGGGACGAAGTGCTGTCATCTAGAGGAAAATGGATGAAACTTGTGTGAACACCATGCTAGTTAAAATCAGTCAAACTCAGAAAGTTCAGTATTACAAGCTGTCTCTTAAAAATACACAGAATGTAAGTAAGTAAAAGGTAGATACTAAGAAACCAGAAAATAGATTTTTGGAGATAAGAAGAGTCTGGTGGTGGCTAGAAAAAAATGGGCAAGATGTAAGTATGTACCATTCCACCCAATGGACACCAATATTCTGTTCTATAATAAAATAATGACATGCATTTGGCAGAAACATTTCTACTGTAAGTGCCATAAGCACCTAGCTGACTCACTTAGCCTCCCTACACTTTACTATCCTCAACTATAAAATAAGAACACTAATTCTTGTTTCAAAGAAGTCTGATTTGGGCTGGATGAGTGAAGAAAAAAAATGCTCACTAGGGTATTGAAATGTGGGAAAAGTCCAACAAACACTGACCATTACACAGAGCCCCCTCTGCCCGTTCTCTGGTCCCAGCTCCCTCCTGGGGTGCCACGTTGCACAAGAGTGTCTTACTCATTTGTAAGCCCTGAAGTCTGAGGACTCAAGCTGCCGGGTGTCAGAGCTCACGGAGGGGGCTCCGTCAGCGGCCACTGTGCAAGTAAACCCCCCAGGCCTAATTCTATTTTATTCACTATTTCTAAAATTGTTCCATCAGCCCAGAACTTCAAGCTAGGTCATTATTAGTAAGACATTTTAATTCTGAAAGCATATTGAAAGATTTGTGTGCTCCTTCCTCAAGATTGGGTAAGTACATAATGAAATAAATTATAGTCTATTACCTAAGCAGGCATTTCAGTTTTCACTTTTCATCACAGCTTTTGAAAGAATGTAAAAGGAAGCTGGAAATAACCAAAAATGCAAGCAGAACCAAGGCAGAAGGAAAAGGCAGAGAGCCAGTTCATCAATAAATATACGCTTCCCCAATGCGGACTCTTATTTTTATTGTTTCTTTGTTTAATTTGGTTGTTTTTAGGCCTATTTCAAATTTTACCTCCTCCCTGAGTAAACCTTTGTTAAAGTCTGCCAAAGATGAATTCTCTGTCTTCCCTGAAATTGGCTTATTTTACTGTTACTGCACTTTCCCTTTGTGTCCGTTTAGAACATGTTGCTCAACAGAGAAATGGCTCCTTGACAATAATTAGCCATTCTTTCAAGAATATTTTTGTGTACCTGTGATAAAATTCTTAACTTATTTAAATTCATCAAAAAAAAATAAATTCATCACTTCTTCATGAAAATGTTAACCTTTTTTGAGTAGCCAGAAAAATGTTGAAAAAGAACATATTTGGAGATGTCATATTTCCATTATTACAGAGCTACAATAATTGATAAGATGCAGTGTGGGGTGTGGTCCTGGAATAAAGATGGACACCTACAGCAATGCAAATAGACTGCAGAAATAAGGCCCTAGACACAGGGTCAAAGACTTGTAACAATTGGGGGCCAGTGAGACAGCTCAGTGGTCTAAAGCACCTGCTTAGGTAAGCTTAAGCAAGAATAGGGACTACAGCTCAATCCCTGGCACCA